GGGGTTCGACGGAGCCTCTGCCGCGAAGGTAAAGACACCTGTGTAAAGTTGTGATGACGCTGCAGAAGATCACGTTACATTGCTGAGCCAATCAGAGCTGTGGAGGAGCACTGACTGAAGGAGTTCCACTCTCAGCATGGATTTGAACTTGTGTCTTTAATTACTTCAGTAAAACTCACCGTTTTTACCAAATTCTGTAGCTTTCGGTGTACTTCTAAATCTGCTCCTTAGTTGCATCTTTTCGGGGTTGCTACTGCCTCTAGTGGCGTGGAGGTGGTAACACAACTAATATAATTACATTACTAAATCAGAATGCCGCAAAGTCTTTATTATTTATTGTTAATTTTTCATTCTCTTAAGAATGTAGAGCTAATTAAATGATCTAAACAAGGCATTAAAGTGGTTCCAGTTTCTCTCGATGGCCAACCTGTTGAAACTGTGGCAAATTTTAAATACCTTGGGTCGATCCTGGACAGTCAGCTCAACTTTGCTGAAAACACTGACTATATTTTGAAGAACTGTTCTCAGAGACTCTACCTTTTAAGAAGACTTGGTAATCATGGGGTGACCCAACTAGACTCTAGTTGGGGCACCCCTATGTCTTGAATTTGGGGGGGGGGATCATATTTTATTTATCACTACAGAAGGGTTCAGTGAATGCGCATATGAAACTGGTGGGTTCGGTACCTCAAAAAAGGTTAAGAACCACTGTCCTAAAGCTAGGTGTGCTAGCGGAGTGGAAGCTAATGCTAAAGCGCTAAATTCAAATTACAGTATATCTGCCCTTTAAACACTAACATCTTTGAACAATAATTTAATTTTGACGTCATAATTCAAGTGTTTTAAAATACCCTTAGATGTTGTATTTACGTTTATATCTTGTTCTATATTGTCTGTTGTTTGTGTTGTTGTTCCTGTAGGGATTTTTTGTTATAAAATTATTGGAGGGAGAGAACCTAAGGAGAGGAAATGGAACTGAGGAGACTTCACCCACTTCAAAATAAGAGCATGAATATAAATGTCTACGTCGAGAATTCTTAACAGTCAATAACAAAAACATAAAAGTTTACTTAGAAACCTAAGTTAGCAAGTGCGCTAAATGACAAAAATTAGCTCCGCTATTAGCGCATTAGTGAAAAAGTGCCCACCACTGCTTAAACACTTGAGTCACGCCAGGCAGAAGAATAGGATAAGTTGATTAATAGTTGACAGAGGGGGATACACATAAAGGGTGCTGAGAATGCTACGCTGCTCAGCTAAAACAAACTGAATTTAAGACACAAAGCTATATTAAGCTATGAGGCTATTTCTTATACCCGGTGTCAGGCTTATTTATCACATAACAGGGATCGGTTGGAGTGTTAAAGGATGCTTAAAGAAGTCATGTTGGCTTTTGCTGGTATGCAAACACACCAGTAAGGAAGACGCATTGCGGTTTGAGACAAACAAAATGAAAACTGTGGCGAGGCCAGCCCAATCCATGTGCCTTATTTTGTTACCTAAATTATTACCTAAATTGATAAGAGGAAAATTGCTTTTTCTGAGACGAAACCAAGGAATGCAGAGGAAGTGTTGTCCAACCATCTTGGGCTGGAATAGCTGTTCACTCTATGCAACACAGATGTATGAAGATGTTATCAAAACCAGCTAAATATTTGTTCAGTGATTCATATTAAAGCTCATTTAAGTATTTTTTTTCTCACTTAATCTAGCAAATATTAGAGCTTGTGAAGAGAAATGCTGACACTGCTTGTGAACATTCTTACTTCCCATCAAAAAAGAAAAATATATTCCACGCTGGAAGACCTGGAAATAAAAAAAACTTGGAAAAACAAAATTGTTTTGAAGGAGTACTTTGGCAATGAATATATGTTTTCAGATTTTTCTTTTGTTTTTGTAAGATTTTATGCAAATATAACATTAAATATAATGTAGGACTGTGCTCCATTTTGCATTTTGTGGAAAAATTACACATACTCGAGAAAATGATATAATTATCCCCCCCCACCCAAAAAAAGTAAACCACATTTTATGTACTTTTATTAATCTGGTACAGATAAACAGTGACGGCTGCCTAGCCGAGGTTTTTAAGTTGGTGCAGTGTGACTTTTGAAACTGATGCAAATTTGCAAAAATACACAAATTCTTAGATGCAAATTGTCTATCCAATAACATGTCATTAAGTTTAGGTTAAAGAAAATTTGTTTCAAATAGAGATGTTGTAATATTGCAACACTGTAGTTTTTCTGCAGTTTTCAGTGTGGAATAAATCATGTAGTGTTAGATTTGTGTCTATAATGAAATTAAATCTACTGTAGCTACAGTTCAGATTATCTTTGGCTTGAACTGTCATCGCTCTGTGCCTGGCAGGAACGCATACAGGGAGAGGAGTACGGCCCCAACCTGTACGACGTAGAGAAGCAGATCGCGGAGCACAACATCCTGCACCGAGAGATTGAAGCCTACGGCAGCCAGCTGCAACCCAGCTCCGCTGTTTCCCCGGTAACCGCATCTCCCTGCGTCACTTTCTTTACGGCTGTTCCTAAACCAGAACGCTTATCAGTCTTTCTTGTACGTTTCCAGGAGGATTACAAGTCCTTCAAAGAGAAATACGACCAAGTTTTGGTGAGTCGCTTTAATTTCACAAGTTGTCGTTCGCCGGGAGCGTTCGCCGGAACTGCTCTGGACTCTCCCGCGATTTCATTTTGCGTTTGCAGGAGAGCTCCAAGCTCAGGCACAAACACCTGGCATCTCTGTACGAGTACATGCAGAGCTGCACCAAGGAGCTGGTCTACCTCTCCGGTCAGCAGGAAAGGATCATCAACAGAGACTGGAGCGACCGCATGGTCGACTCGTCAGGAGTCCGCACCGAGTACGAGGTGAAATTCCTCAACTGCACCGCTTTGATCGCAGCAGGTCTCTCCTCTGAGAGATGCTAGTTTTAGAAATGTACCAGCTAATGGGTTGCATGTGTTGTGTTTACGTGCAGAAATTCAAACTGAACGGACTTCTGGCGCATGAGGAGGAGGTCAACAAGCTCCAGGTGGAAGGATCCAAACTCACTGACATGGACCACCCTGGCACCCAGACAATAAATGTGAGTGCAACACACCAAGAGACACATTTCTGTCAGGGGTGCACCGAAAAATCGTCCCAGGTTTCCTACATTTTGGGAGATCGGTGAATAAGCCGATACTTGCTTAAAAAAAAAAAAAAAAGAAAGAAAAAACGATCTTGTGTTCCTCCACAAGCATCTGGAAATCAGCCACCGCTCCCTTTAGTTCTGCCATGAGAGGCGGCAGATCATGTCTGCGCACAGATTGCATGTGCGCAATTGAAAAACAGTCACCCTACTGATGCCAACTTAGCAAATTTTAAGACAAAAAAAATTGTTTGACTAAATCAATATTCGCAGGTCAAACATTTTAAAGATCGGTAATCGGCAGTCGTCCTCAAAACTCCAATTGGTGCCCTGCTACTTTCTCTGCTTGATTTCACAAGAGCTGCAACACAGTGAAAATGAATTTTAAATTTGGGTTTGAACGACTTTTATTTTTTCTCGGTTTTTCTCCCAGACCACGATGGACAGAGTACATCTGGAGTGGCAGTCCTTCCTCAACCTGTGCATAGCGCAGGAAATTCACCTGGAGAATGTCGACAACTACAAGAAGGTAAGTTGAGCCTTTGCGCTCGTCATCGGTGAAATCCCACCTGCGCTAGCGAACGCTCCCAGCTGATGTTTTGGGCTGTTTGCTGTAGTTCCAGCTGGACGCAGACATGCTGGCCGAGTCTCTGCAGAAGCTCAACTCCACCTTGGATCCAAAGTCCCTGAATAACAAGAGCAACCCGGAGATCCTGCTGGCGCTGGAGGTATGGCCGGCGTTTCTCAAAACGCTGATTTAATGTTAGCTTACAGACTGCTGCAGGCTCAAGTTTTCACCTCTAAAGCTGCTACTGACGATTATATTAGTAATCGATTATTCTGGTAATTAATTAGAGAAAATGTGGCAAATTCTGCTAGTTTTTAATTTTATCACTTAGGTTTATTTGCGTACGCTATTAGGAAAAACATTAAAAGATTAAATTAAATTCCTTTTAAAATAAAAAAGCAACATTTTATTATTTAAAATACAAAAATATATAAATATATTCTACTTAAGGAGTAGAATATATTTACAGACAAAGAATGTTCTTCATCTTAAATGCAAAATAAAACTATTCTCTGTACAGTTTTGACTTCATATCTGTTCTGTTGTTCTTTCATCAAATAGCCTATTTTTCAGATTGTATACTTCAGTTAGAGATTAATCAACTGCTACATTAGTTGACGATTATTTCAACGATTAATCATAATGAATCTGATTAATCGTTTCAGCCCCAATTTTCTCACATTACAACCTCAGACTTCACAAGAGCTTGATGGGATTTTATGAGATAGACCAACCCAATCCATGACACAGCTGTGAAGTGGAAGGAAGATGATTCCTGTTTAAATACTTTTTGTCGTTTTAGAAATAAAAATCTAAATTACGTAGTGCATTTATATTTTATACTCCTACCCCGATACCTCTAAATAAAACCCAGTGTTCTTATAACTTACCAAATTAGCAAACGTGCAGAAGGGAGCAAAACTTTTGTATTAAATTTATTTTCTTCTTATGTAACTTTGTTTATTCTTTTATTAAGCTACATTCAATAAAGTGAAGCTCAAACTGAAAAGTAACATCCTCACAGAGGTGGTGGCAGCATCATTTGATGGGGAGTCCGGGAAAATAAAGTAGTAAATAATAATTTTAGTAGTACCGTAGTCCACTGAGACAAAGAAGTGAAATCAAAACAGAACCAATCTGTGAGACGTGACCTCGTCTTGTTTAGGAACTCTACACCCACTATTTAGGTGCCACTATTTGTCATGTTTATTTACTCTTCACCATTTTCAAGGTTCAAGGATAAGCAGGTGCCAGGGCGGACATTTTTACTTTCACTGGTTTGCAGATTTCGTAAGATTTAGACGCTTTCGTGGGATCCAGAAGGGCTGACTTTCTTCTCTGAATTCCTGTTACATCTCACTTAAGGGAGAAGAACCGTCGGTGAAAAGGAACGAGCAGCGGGTGGAAGACCTCAGGGAGCTCAGCGGCAGGGTTGCCCCTCTGAAGCTGCGCCGGACCAAGCCCACCAAGCCCACCACCGTGGTGTCACTTTGCGACTGGGCGGACGAAAACGTAAGACGACCGCAGCACTCATTTCACCGCAGCAGAACGAAATGAGAGCTGCTCACATGTCATTTATCGTATCATTTATCATTTATCGTGATGAGTTTCTTTGCATAGAAAGAAAGTACAAACTCCACACGTAGTAAATTAGTTTGAAGAAAAACTGAATCGCTTTACTGAGTTTAGTGGAGTTTTCTCGTCTCTGGTTTTAAACCACCATCTTGGAGATCACCGTATGATAAGAATTCTGACTTATCGTTATCACAATAAATTTCAATTAATGATGGGCATTTATTTTATCCTGATACATTTTTAGTATAAGAATTCTGATCCATTGTTGTCACGATAAATTTCAGTTAATGTTTAAACTAGGGTATCATTTATCGTTTATCGCTTATCATGATGAATTTCTCAGCAGCACAATAAGAATTTTGATATCACTATAAATTCCAATTGATGGTGTTGAAAAATCCTCAAAACTGTCCGCATTGTTGGGATTGTGAGTTTTGACTATGTTTCTCCGCTATTTCTTCTTTGAAATATCAATAAATATGAATTCATTTAAAAATATTATTAGATGCAGTTCAGCTGAGTGCAGTTTGGTGACACGAATCACACGTCTTTATGTAACTGGTGTCCTGAAGAAGCACGTTCTTACTGAAGATGTGAATGTTTTCCAAAAGCTGTATTTGTTTTGTATAATTGCCGTGACATGCGGTGACAGTCATACAGTTACCTAAAAGAAGAAGCAATAAATAGTTTTTATTGCGCCACATAATATCGTGATAAAAGTTGAGGTCCGTATCGCCCCTCTCTAATCACGGGTTTCTTTTGCCGCGTTTGTTTGATCGCAGGGGGCGGTGGAGCGCGGGCAGGCCATGATACTGAAGTCCAACTCGGACAATAAGTACTGGGAGCTTCAGGACAGCCAGGGGAAGACCACCAGCCTCCCTGGAGCCTGTTTTGAAATCCCACCACCCGATCTAGAGGCCCTGGAGACTTTGAAAAGGTGCAGAATCTAACATCCTCTTCTGTTTACTTCATTCCCCCTCCTTTTATTCCCCAATCTGAGCCTTAAATTGTGATTCTCTGTTCAGCCTCGACCGTAAGCTGGCAGACCTGAAGAGACGCAGGGCCGCGCTGATGGACTCCCTGAAAACCCCCACGGTGGAGGTGATGCGTCCCAAACAGGCCGGTGAGAGGAAAACATCTTTTAAAAACCGGATGACGACGGATCTGCACAGCCGGAGTTGTCAGAGTTAACATGTCTTTCATTTTTGCTTTCCCCTCTTTATCAGCTGTTGTTAACAGCGAGCCTGAGGATCCGAGAGTCGCAGAGCTGAACACTGACATAGATAAGATCAACAAAGCTCTGGCAAGGAACGAAAAAGAAATCCTGAACAGACTGAGGACCCCGCTGGACATCCGGGCCCCCATGCAGGACTTGGAGAAAAGGCAGCAGGAGAACGAGGTGAAGATTTGCTGCAATGAGGGGCTGTGAAAAAAGTTATTTTCCCCCTAACAGATGCCTATTGTTTTCTTTTTTTTGCCACAAGATAATATTTTGGATCATCAGGCTAATTTTACAAAATGCAAAAAAAAAGAGAGTTTTCCAGTTATTGGAAATGCAAATTAACATTTTTTCTTATATAGACCCATGTTGATCCGCAAAGTTTTTCCTCTAAATAAACGAAATCATAATTTTTGCTTTTTACTCAGATTACCTTTGCCTGATACTAAATCTAGTTAGATGATCCGAAGCATTTCACACTACAATTAACACCATTTGTTTGAATGTGATCATCATTAATGCTTCATATTCAAAATATTAATTTCCCGTAGAAATCTGCTCTAGCAGTCAGAAAGCTGGAGTCAGACAAGTCTGCCGTCCAGAGGGAGGTGGATCCTATTCTGGCAAAGAAAGCTCTGGGACCGACGGCTGCCATGCTGCCGCTCAAACTCAGCGCAGCCGACAACAAGATCCACAACGTCAACACGCTTGTTGATCTCTATAACAAAAAGTACAACTGTTTTTTTTTTTCCTAAACCAAAGATACAAAAGTGCACAGACTTTGCGAAATGTCTCAGTTGCTAAACGTCCCTCTTTGTCTCTGTTGCCCAGAGCAACCGCCTCCATGTTCCTGGAGAAGCAGCTGGAAAAGACAGAGGTCACCGTTTCCTGGTTTGAGCAGCAGCTAGCTAAAGACGGAGTCATCCTCAATCAGCCGGACGTCCTTCAGAACCGCACCAAGAAGCTGGAGGTGTCATATTTCACAAACCAGAACCGCACTGCTTTTATTCTCGTTTTGTTTTGTTTGTTTGTTTTTTTTTTTCTCATTTGCATTTCTTTTGAGCAGAGCACGTCCAAGGACGTTGTCTCGAAAAAAGAAGAGCTGAACAAGCTGGGCAAAGACCTGGACCTGACCAAGCAGGCATGCAGCCCCCTGCAGCAAAGGTTCGGCGAGTACTGCCCCGATATCCGCCGCCAGGAGAGTCAGGTGCAGCTCCTGAAGAACCGCTACGCAAACATCAAGAATCAGCTCCAGGAGAGGTGAGGAGGGCGGGGGGAGAGAAGCAACCAGACAGGGGAGCTTACCAATGCCACAACGGTTTTGTTACATAAACAATTTCTTTTCTTTATTCTGTTAGGGTGGCTCTTCTTAAAAAAGCATCCAACAAAAATCAGGAGTTTAATAACGTTGCTCAGTCGCTGGACTTTTTTCTGCTCAACTTGCCCGACAACACGGTGAAACCTACTGATGGTGTGGAAGAGATACTGACGAAGGAGAATTCCCAAAAGGTAAAGAGTGATTTCAATTCTTTTTCAAATAAAAGAAAGTATTTTATTATTATTATTATTATTATTATTATTATTATTATTATTATTTATTTATTTTTTACATTAAATCTCTAATTTACCACTCCCTATATTGCCAAACTTTCAATGTTTGATCATGTTTCTGTTTTTAGAAAGTTGTGGAGGACATTGAGAAGAAGTCCGGGGATTTACACCAACTCAGGGACCTGTCCAAAGATCTGCAGGGCATGTTAAATGTTAGTACAGAGAACATGACTATGTGCACAGTTAGCATCCTGTGAATGCTGGTTTATCAGAAAACACACACTACATGAAGAAATAACCCACATTTTGTCGATCATTAAGTCCTATTATGGTTACGAAGTGCATGTTTTACTGTTGATGTGCCTCCGTTTTGTATAATATGTCTATTGGGATGAAAAGTGTAGAATTCACAGAATTCTGTTTAACTGGGACAGGGTACATTACTTTTTCTGTCACGTCACGTGAATTCGGACACACCCATACCGTCATATATAAAAAAATCTGTGGCAGGCAGCAGGTGATGAAATTCTGTAAGCATGCCTCGTCTTTACACACATTGGGAGACATTTCTGGAGTCATATTTAACCCACTTTAACTCAAGTACGATAGGGGACATTAGCATCCTGACACAGTCTTATAGTGAAGATTAGACATGTAGTTCCATCTGCTAAAGCCTTTCTCATACTTCCCTTTTTAGGAATATGAGATAAAGTCAAAAACGTATCATGGAACTCTAAATGGCAATGATGAGGTCGACAATGAGGTCTATGAGAACAGCAAAGAGAACACGTACGAGGCAACGCCTCCAAAGAAACGTCTAACATCAACTCTGGCTCAAGACGTGCAACGAACGGTGGGGTTTCAAGGAAGACCAAGATGACTTAAGACATTCCTGCATCATCTTCCGTTTTGAAACTAATGCTTCTCCTTTTGCTTTCTGGTGCAGGAGAAAGACCTGCTGAACCGCTTCGCTGAGATCTCAGCTAAAAACAACCAGCTGCTCAGTCAGATGGGGACAGCAAAGAACATCACTGCAATGGTAGGAGATTAGAGCACGTTTAGTAATCGCCCTTAGCGTTTTTCTATGCATATGTGTGTTTTTCAGTTAACCACTCTTCTCCCCTGCTCTCCATTCGCTCCTCTGCAGAACGAAGAAAAAGTGAGTCAGGTGGCTGTCAGTCAGCAGCTGCAACTTCAGAGCCAGCAGAGGAACGTGGAGGCAGCTGATAGTCTGAAGAAGGAATTGGAGGAAGAAGTCAACAGGCGTTCACATGCCGAGAATAACCTTGAAACCTACCGGAAGAGGTTTTTGTCTCTGAAGCACAGGAGAGGAGTGGAGAGGTTGGAGGAGAAAGAGGTGGTGCAGTATTACCGTGACCCAAAACTGGAGGCGGATCTCAAATCGCTGAAAAATCGCATCCAGGACGAAGAATTCAGTAGATCAAGAATCCAGTCCGAGATAGAACTGCTCAATGAGAAGATCGTCACAGTGGAACTGCAGCTGACCAAAGTGGAACCTAAACTTGTGACTAAGGTGCTCACCGAATATGAGAGAGACCCCAAACTTGAGAAAGAGGCAGCTGAGATCAGAGCTGAGATGGAGAGGATCCGGACCGAGCTTCAGACGAGAAATACTGAAACCGTCACTGTGAAATCTGAGCTCACGCTTCTCTCCCAGCAGAAACAAAAAATCAGAGAGAAGGTTGTGAAAAAGGAAGTGGTGAGATTAGAGAAAGACCCAGAGATGCTGAAAGCTGTTCTAACGTTTCAGGGTGACATTGCAGAGGAGGAACTGCGCAGCAAGTCTCTCAATGATATCATTTTCAGCACCAGGTCCCAGATTAACACGCTGGAGAGGGTCATTCCATCCATTGAACCCAAGATTGTCACCAAAGTCGTGAAACAAGTGCAGCAAGCTCCCGAACTGATAGACGAGTCACATAAAATCAGAATGGCTTTGGAAGAAGAGAAGGATGAGAATGTCATCCTGAAAAAGGACCTCACCACCCTTCAGCTTCGCTTTGGTGAGCTGGAGTTGCTCAAGCCCAAAGTGGAAGTCAAAGAGATTGTCAATGAGATCTACAGAGTGGATCCTGACACCGAGGTCGAGCTGGTGCGTCTGAAGAAGGCGCTGCAGGATTTGAGCCAGAGCCGTTCAGACCTTGAGAACCAGATTGACTCGGTGACGGCAACCCTGACTTCCCTACGCACCCAGAAACCCAAAGTAGAGTACAAGGAGGTGACCCAGGAGGTGATCAAAGAAGAGAAGAGCCCAGAGGTTATGAGGGAATTGCAAAGACTGAATAACCAAGTCTCCCGACTGCAAGTCAACTATGACACCACCTTAGAACTGCTAACACGCCTACGTAAGGAAAGAGATGAACTGAAATCTGAAAAATCCAAAGTGGAGACGAAGCTTCTGACAAAAGAGGTCATCAAGTATGAGAACGACCCTCTTCTGGAGAAGGAGGCCGATAGACTTCGAAGAGATGTACGAGAGGAGATCCACAGTCGCCGAAGTGTGGAGGAATGTCTCTTTGAACTACAGAACCAATACATTACCCTTGAAAGACAGAAGCCAGAGGAAAAGATTGTCACTAAAGAGGTTATTCGTCTTCAGAAAGATCCCAAGCAGATTGTGGAGCATGACAAGTTGAACCGGAAGTTGGATGATAAAATGAAGGCACGCAGAAAACTCGAACTAGAGGTCAGACAGCTGAGAGCGCTGATTGAAGAAAAAGAGAAAGACTTGGCTAAGATGGACGACCGCCAGAAGAAGATCAAAACCGAGTCTGAACTCAGGCAGATTAAGACTCGCATTCTTGAACTGGAGAATTCTCCACCACCCATTGAAGAGAAGATCATCATTGAGGAAGTCCTGAAGGTAGAGAGGGACCCCAAGCTGGAAAAACTCACTGAAGGCATTCGTTTTGACATGGAGAAGGAGAGCAACAACATCAACCGTCTTGAGAGAGAAATTCGGAATCTCAGACTGAAGCTGGAGATTCTGCAGAAGGAGAAGTCCATTGAGAAGGTTGTTTACAGAGAAGTCGTTCGAGTAGAGAAAGACCCAGCAGTTGAAGCTGAGAGGGACCACCTCAGAGAGATTGTAGCCCATGAGAGGAATCTAAGACGAAATCAAGAAGACAGCCTCCAGAGGATAAACAGTCAAATAAACCATATAAACACATCAAAGTCTGTGACGTCTCAGGAGGAGACAGCTCTCATTACTGGTAGGGACGCGCTGCAAAGAGAGAAGGAAGATCTCCTCAGACAGCTGAAGGAACTGGAGTCTGAAAGACAAACCACCAGCATTACCTTCCAACAACAGTCCAGGTTGATGAGCGAGAGGAACCAGATGGCACGCCAGAGAAGTCTTAAAACTTCCTCCGAGGTCCAGCGGCTGGAGAAACAGATCCTGAATGAAAAAGATAAAATACACCAGAGGGAGACCCTCATTGCTGAGCTGCAGAACGGCATAAAATCAGAGGACCATTCAGAAACTCACACCAGAGAGACAAACCTCTCAACGAGGATCACCATCTTGGATCCAGAGACTGGCAAAGACCTGTCTCCCTATGATGCCTACGTACAAGGAGTAATTGATAGAAACCACTACCTCCAACTGGCTCAACTGGAATGCGATTGGGAGGAAGTCACGTCAACCACCCCAGATGGAGATATAATGGTTCTGCAAGATCGAAAAACTGGGAGGCAATACTCTGTAAATGATGCGCTGAAGGACGGCTGTCTGACTGAGTACGACGTGAGCCGCTACAAGGAGGGTAAGATGTCTATCTCTGAGTTTGCCCTCCTTGTTACAGGAGAGAAGCCAAAACCTTACATTCCTCCAGTAACATCAAAATCCCCAAGCAGGCCTATCTCATCTTCCCCACTGAACTCCATGTCTTCGCCCTTGAAGTCTTCTTACGGCAGCCTGAACACTCTGCGCAGCAGCAGCAACAGCTTAAACAACCTCACTGCTGCCATGGGGGATGAGTATTTCCCAATCTCTGGCATATTTGATATCACTACTGAAAGCCGCATGTCTGTGAGAAGCGCACTCACCCGCAGACTCATCGATCCAGACACGGCCATGAGGCTGCTGGAGGCGCAGTCAGCCTCTGGCGGGATTGTCGATCTGGGCAAAAAGGACAAATTCTCTGTCCACAAGGCAGTCGAGTACAACCTAATTGAGTCAGGGCACAAGTATAAGCTACTGAACGCCCAGAAGGCCTTCACTGGAGTCGAGGACCCTGCGACCAAAGAGCGCCTGGCAGTGGGTCAGGCAGCACAGAAAGGTTACATGCCCATGGAGAACGCCAAGAGGTACATGGAGGCCCAGTACCTCACCGGTGGGTTGGTGGACCCCAATAAGGCAGGACGCCTATCAATTGAACAGGCACTTGCAGGAAATCTGATTGATAGCACAATGGCTAATGAGCTGAAAGACGAGGCTTTGCACTCCAAAGAGCTGATAGACCCCATCACCCAGGAGAAGATCTCGTACAAGCAGGCTATGGATCGCTGTAAGAGAGACGTAACCACTGGGCTCCTGCTCCTTCCTGCGGCCTCAACAAATGCTACATCCTACTCCAGCTATCGCTTTTAGCAACAAAATTCACAGAGATGACAATTAACTACAACTCGTGGTGCTATAGGCAAACTGACAGGAGCAGAGAAAGAGAAATGCTTCATCAGAGGAAAAAAATAAACATGTATTTTGGTGGGAATATACTCGTGGATTGTTTCTCTGTAATAGTTCCGGTTTTCTGTGAAAATAAAGGTATTTTTATCATGCCATTTGTCACACTGTAAACAGTTTTTTTTTTTGTCAAACCTTGTGAAGTAAACCTCAACTTGCACGTTACTATTAAACTCATCTGACTTGAATTCCATTTTTGTCCCTCATTTATGTAACCATTACCTTCAGTTGATATAAAAATGCTATAATTATCCAATATAATTTAAAAGAAATATGACTTGGTAATTTAACTTCTTGAATTTAGGCATCTATCTCTTTAAAAACTCCTGCTCTTTCTGAAATTCTGCCTTCAGGAAGTCCTCACAACATTGCTCCCCTATTAGCCTGTCAGCGTTGCCTGAGTAGTAAGTAGCTCATAGATGCAAAGTTCCACCAGCTGTTCGCTAATTGCTGCTGGCTAGTCTGAAGGAGCAGAGTGGGGTCATTGTGAGAGAGGGTCATGATCGTGTTTCTGTGTGTTTATTTNTGGAGTTTTTTGTGTTCAGTTTCCTTCCTGTGAGTCGCTGGCTCTGCGTATTCCCCGTTGATTGTTTACCAGGTGTGTCTCGTTCCCTTGATTAGCCTTGTGTGTATTTAATCTCAGCAACTCGGTGCTAAATACCACATTCTGCACATTTTCCAACTTCGTTCAAATGTGGTTGCCATCATAAACAGGCTAAGCTCCAGGAAGCTGCGGGCGTCCCATCATGATCTTGTTTGTGATGTCAATATGAGGGCCGTTCCTTCTGCGGAGCATTTCCTGGAACGACTCGCTCCGTACAACAGTGACTCATCCTCTTCCTCTGGAGCTGTCGGGGCCGACCTCAAAGTAAAATTCCTGTACTTGATGTACGCGGCTTGTAAACTGAAGCGAGTCACACGGGCTTGGAATCACAGGATTAAGGGTTTGGATTAAATGCATCTCATACATGTTAAGGGTAACGAGGACAAACCAACAAGTGACTCTTTGGCAATTGCAGCGGAATTCGAACCACTGATCTTTGTATTTCACTTCAACATATCTACATGTTATCAGCAAATGAGCACTGCAAAAAAGTACTTAACCTTAGTTAGGTCTGAAATACTTCACTTTATCTTGATTATATTTATCTTGATTATGGAGGAAGTGTGTAAAAGACCCCCATCTGACCCCTCAGAGAGGGTTCAGAGTAATAGTGGCTGGGATGTCCGTTTACCAGATTACCTGATGACTGCAAGGACTTTGTGGGATTATTACCTATGAGCCTGTCTGGAGGCTGAAGTGACCCCATACTGTGTAGAGAGGGATGACAGTTGGGTCATCTCAAGTAAAGCCAACACAGCTTGGCAGATATTTTGTCGTATTTTCATCTTTTTGTTCGTTGCCATTTATGAAAACAAAGTAGCGACAGTAAAAGTTTGCATTTCTCGTTCTGATTGTACTGACAGATGCACAACAGTCGCGGCAAAAAGCTTGCCTGGAGCGCGACGGCCTGGATCGCAGATGTGCAAATTATTTCTTTTGACTGAACTCTAGCCTGACTGACGCACATAATGAATGACTGCTGCTTTTTTTGTTTTGCTTGATTATTGTTATTTTGATTGAAACACAGCGATAATGATACAAAAAGTGAGTGCCTCTGTTTTGGTGGCCCTCAATTACAGCACAAAGGACGAAACCGATGACTCCAGTAATGATAATTGTGCCAATGCCATATCTGCTGCTAACAGTGGCATAATTCAGTAAAACATTCTCTAGATTTCCCTTGTTAAAATGCACATCAGTGTATTGTTTTCTATCTGTAAAGAGTTTGATATTTAATTCGAATTAGCATCTTTGAACTAAAACTTTGTTAAAACTGGAGAAAAAGGGGCATGGAGTCCACATATAACTACCAAAAATCAACAACAGAAAAAGCTAAAAGTTCACTCCATTTTCTTTTCCTGTTTCTACTTTTTTTCCACATACCAAAATGTTCTAGGACAATCAGACTGATTTTATCTGACAGAAATAACCATCATAAATACAAAATGCAGCTTTAAAATGATTTAATTTACTGAAGTTTAAAAAAAACACCCTTCAAACCAATGAGAAAAGTAATCCCACTCTGCGTTAAATCATGAACGGTGATGAAACTGGTGGTTATAGTTTTTGTAGGACTTTGTGGAAAGTGGAGTTTAACATCACTGGCCACTCTTATGCCTGTTTACTGTCAGACCTCTTTACCTCCAGTGAACCACAGCGAGGCCATTATCCACAAGTTAAAGAAAAATACGGTGTGGTAAACCTTCCCAGGAACGATCAGTCTACCAAAAACATACCCTAAGAGTGACCGGTCCGTTTGTCCTTCAGTGGAAACGGAGCTGCTCACCTGTCCGTGATTAAGACCTGAGTCTGGGACTGAGTCACGGATTAAAGCGTGAAGCTCCACACAGAGACAGCTGAGGGAACACTGAACAGAAATCACTAGTAGCTTTTGACTTTATATTTAACAGTGAGGACACTTGCGAGATTTTATTTTGATCAAAAGAAAACGGAATGTCTTTGACTATATATATATATATATATATATATATATATATATATATAAAGAAAAGAAAGGAGCAGTTTTCATCTTTAGAATAACAACATCAACCATTTTCTTTAGGATTTTGTAGCTACAGCGGAAACAAACTTTGGACCAAAAGTCAGGGTGATCAAAATCTGCAGAGTCCATGCAGGTTTATGTCAGGTCACCGCAGGCTAACGGATGAGTAGCTCTAAATCCTCAGACGTTCACAACAGCTAAAGCCTCCATAACAGAGCAGCAGGAGCTGGAGGAGCTGTTGTTGCGAGGCTAAAGGCCTGATGACTGACGTCAGCCGGTAGTGTGGGAAGCCCTGGAAACGGCTTAGAGCCGCTGCATGTTACACCAGGTATGGAAACAGGTCAAGTTCAAGTCAACACTTGGTTTATTATGTACATAGTGAAATAATCCATACAATTCTCTGGTTAATGGGATTCAGTTAAAAGCTTGAGAATAAATCAGAATATCACATGTGAATTGAACCTGTGAAGAATCTACAGAGAATATTGATTTATTTCCCTACTTTTAGCTTCAAAACATTGAGTTCAAACAGGGCTAGCCTAAAGTATAGCTGGATTTTGCAAGTAGGAATAACAAACAGGCTTTTGGTTTACTAATGGTGGGCAGATTGATACATAAATATCAATGATACTGAAACAGTCTGCATCAGTTCTGGATGGAGATTAGCATAGTAAAATAGATACTTTAGTTCCAGAATCCCTCTTAAAATTTTATTATATATATTTTTTATTATAGTTTCCCAAATTCCCAAAGCTACCCTAAAAAGATTTTGTATTGATTTGCTCTCAAATGATCATTTTTCACACTTCGTTTCACTTAGTTGTTCTGTTGTAAGCTTATGTTCTTCTTTCTTAAATTCATTCATTATTATTTCCCTGTTTGGCCAGAGGAGGCAGCCAAGAGCCCAGAAAGTTTTAAGGCTGCCCAAGTTTGGAAGAGTTTTATTGGGGCTTCCTCTAGTTAAACTATTTAAGTTGCGTAACCCTTCGTGTTCGCCAGCCTGTTCCAATATGACCCAGATTTGATGCCATCCAGACATTCAAGGACATCCTACAAGTCTTTGAGCGACCTTGTTCTGACTGAGAAGCTGTTTGTTTTGAGACTCAACAGTCATTCAGCTTGGATGAAGTTCAAGTTTCGGTGCAACATGTTGATCGAACACAAGTTGGGTGTTGGAATAGTATGTCCGTAGAGACTCAGGCAGCTTTAGTGAGAGCTGAACCAGCAACAGGTTGGATCTCAAGTAAAGCGTTCTGCTCTTTATTCTGTGTGAGGTCTGGTGCTGGGAAAGTCGACTGATCACCAGGGTCCAAGAACTGATCACCCTGTCCAATTTTTTCCTCTCAGGTTAAAGTTCAGTGTCAAACTTTAGAATTAGGTGATCAAATTATTTCCATCCCAGTTCTAAGAGGTTGATTTCTAAATAAATTCTGAGTCCTGAGGAATACGCAGAATCCTCAGTGACTTCCCTCACTGCAATGTACAGAGCTCTGTGCAAAAGAAAAGTACTGATGCTTACTGATATAATCTAATGTAATTCAACGTTCTTACATAATGTTACAAGACAAGGAGTCAGCCCCCAAATAAAACTCTGCTTACGGCCTCACACAACCTTGGAACGGCCCGGTCCAAGTGCCTGATGTCAGTCAGAAAAAAACACAACAGCAACCAAAAACAGTCATAAATCAACTTGCTCATCAGTCTTTGTCAAAGGGAGAGTCAGCGGATGCTGGGGGAACCGGATGGCCTCACTGTTGCGGCGCATGTACGCGTGGCCGCTGATCGGGTACCACATCTCGGTGAAGGTGAGGTTGGCCACGGTGATGGCGCAGCGGCCCAGGACCTTGAAGCCTGACTTGCGGTAGAAGGGGATGAGGAAGTCCTCGCACATCAGCACGGCTCGGCGCACGTTGGGCAGGCAGCGCAGGTACTGCAGGTAGCGCCACATCAGAATGGGACCTTTACCCTGCTGCCTGAAGGTGCGATGGACCGCCAGGACGTGTATGTGGACGGTGGAGCCGCAGGGCTTGTGGAGGGTCAGTGCATCCTGGAGGAGGAGGGGAGGAAAAGGGCAAAATTTTAGGGTGTTTTCACACCTGATTGAAATTTTCAGCTGGTACGGTTGGCTTTCACACTTCCCTCTGCCTGCCAAACAATCCAAATTAACTGAAAAACCTGCTCCTCTCCTCGACTGCGGTGGTGCTGCACCAAGAATTACTAAAGGAGATGACACAAAAACCTCAAAAGAAGACATGAGTATAACTTCCTTCTTCATAAAATGTAATCAATAATGGAACAGCGTCAGATTTTAGTGGTTGCAGGATTTCTTTTTTGTCTTTAGTAAAAGACTACGAACCATTTTTCCCACTAGGCTCTTGCATTTGTTTTGGTTGCATTTACCCAGAATGCCCTGCGCTATGGTCCGCTTCCTGCTTTTGTCTGCTTGCGTTCACATATCCTTTCAAACTGCACCTATGAGTTCACTTTAATCTAAACTGGACCTGAATACTTAGGCAGACCAGAGTTTGCTTCTTTGGTCCTCATCAGGCCAAAAAAGCAAACGACAAACAAATCAGACTTTGAAGACAAATGGACTAGAGTTCAGTTAAAGCAGACTAAACTTGACTGGTGTGAACGCACCATTAAAACCAGTTTTAGCTTTATGTTAAGCTGGAGAAAGTTAACATTCTAGAAGGAATCCCTTAACAAACCCTTCCTGCTAAAACTGTATTAATAATAATACAACACTCTGGTCTCCCCCTATGATTTAACCGCTCTGGGTGGTGAGCCATGTAATTATAAACCGCAATGGGCTGGAGACCCAGAATGTCTTACTGAGGTGAGCCTGTCCTGGTCCCACAGAGATCCGATGATGAACGCCACCAGGCGGCCCTCTTCAAACCAGCCCATCGACAGCTCCGGACACAATGTGAGGAAATGACGCACTTCATCCAGGTGCAGCGGGCACTCCCCGGATACCGAGATAAAAGCTGGAAAAGACATGATCACAATTTAGCATGGATTTCAAAAACAGACAGTTCATTGTGCATAATATTTTAAAGGTAAGAATTTTATACAATTCTATAAAATAAGGTTATGATGCCAGAATTGATTTTATGCATCTACAGAGGACACAACAAATGCAATTCCTATTCTATAGAAGACCAAAAGTGTCAGAAATTAATTAATGAATAAAATGTAAAATGAACAATTAACAATATTTTTATGTATTGTGATCATCTAAATTCTATTTGATTTTACTCGATAAAGAAATGCATGGATTAAATATATGTCTAAAAAATTTATATCTTAATGTTTAAACAATTTAACATAACTTAACTGCATAGATAATTAATTGAATGAAAAAAAAATACATAAAACAATGTTATTCACTGTTAAAAACACATGCAAGTATATCTTTTCTTTAACTGCTTATTGAATTTGCAAATTTATTTGCTCTATTAATTGAAGTCGGTGGGTGGGAATAACTCTGGTATGGAGAAGGTAATTGGTCGAAGTTTAACCAGTAAGATGTGAGGGTTTATTTAAAGCCGACAGTTGGAATTATTTTTAAAAAATCATTTGTAGAAAATATTTGTTTTTGCTTTTAAAAAGGCTTAAATAATTTTATGTATTTCAAAGATTTAGTATTGTTTCATAAAATACCCACAATTCTTTAAGAAATTAATTAATTAATTTAGTCATTCATTTATGTATTTTTCATATTTTATTACAAATAATCATATAGAATAATTTGATTCCTAGAGTGTGAGTTTGTGGCCCTCCGCAGGGAGCCAGCCGGCCCACTTACCCTCCCTCTCGATTTCAAACACGCTGATCGCGTCCTGAGTGTTGAGCGGCCGCACCTCGCTGGCTGGCAGCGTGTGTCTCCGCTGGATACCGGGCGAAACTGAAGGTGAAGTCTGCATTGGCTTGATGAAAGGCTGGGCGCCCACAACAGACATCATACGAGTCAGAGGCTCCTGTCCTCCAGAGGAATCAGAACTTTTCTATCTTTTTTTTCTCTCTCTTTTTGTATATATGTGTTCCTGGTCTCCCCCACTCCCCGCTGCAGCAGGATCACCTCTGCGGGGGCCCTGCAAGGAGAAGTGGACGGTCAGCGTGTGTATTTATGGTGCAGCTCAGCCTGGATGATTCACGGGCTGATTTGCATTTGAATATTTGCGGAATGAATGAAAGTCATAAAAAAAAATCGGAGCCCTGCAATTAATCGCGATTTGTTTTGGTCAGTTAAAGTGAGGGGACGATAATTACTTAATAACTGACTCCCAGTAAATCGCCGCACCTCCGGCCTATTTATAACAGCTGTGGGATTGAAGTTTTAACATTTCTGCACTGCAATTAAAATATTTCTCAGGCAATAAACGCTTTTTTTGTTTGTCTTTTTTTTACTGGTGTTTACATGTATGTCAGATTTATTGACTGCAAACAGAACTTCCCCCAAAGCAACACAGAGGCACTGCAGATACTTACCAGAGGAGAAAGGTGCGGAGGAATATCAGAGAAGGTTGTGAAGAGGTCTGCTTCTCCCCGAGTGTCTCTCCTGTTTCCACGGATGTCTCTCTTCATTATGGGCTGATTATTACTATGAGTCACATGATGGAGGATTACAGAAGTTGTTTCCATAACTCGGCAGCATTAGACCCTTTATCTCCTCCCTGACAGAGCGCATAATGCTCTACAGGTGTCAGAGAAAACAATCGGCTTTTTAAAAATATATATAAGTGGTCACCTTCCTAAAATAATGGCCAATAAATCATTTTGACTCACTGGGAAAAAAAGTAAAATGTATAATAATAATAATAATAATAATAATAATAATAATAATAATAAAACATGATAATGAAAAAAATAACCTTGAAAATTGATCAAGGTTTCATGTTTGTACCGACATTGTAAACTCGATAGACATGCCTTTATTTAAAAAAAAGCAATAAAGATCCTTACATATTCAATACTATGTAATATTGGTTATTAAAGTTATAGCAATATTATCAAAGCATTTATTAGTTACTTTGATTCCATAGACTAAAGGAAAAATGTGGAATAAACCCCATATTGAACGTATTTGCTTCTGTCGTGTTCGTGCTTTCTCTAGCATTTCATTAAATGAACTTTTAACCATAGGAATAGCATGACCGAAAATGAGTGGCTTAGAAATTAGTTTCAGAAATATCAAACATTTTTGAGGAATTTCTCTGGCTCGTGGTGTGCTTAACCTGTAAACAATTTCCCATTTCCCACTGACGGGATATAAACAAGGAATAGTTTTGTTGGCTGTGTGGCACCATGGGAGATGAGCCATATCGTCCCTATCAAATACCCGCACGGGACTGTGGGTATTTGATAGGGACGATATCAAATCGATTGACTTGATGGTATTGCAGTTACCCCTTCCGGCAGCTAGAGGGCAGAACCTAGAATTTGCAAAGGAAAATATGACTAACGAGAAAAATATATAAATATATTTAGAGACAAGTTTCTATCTGTATTATATAATGAGTATTCAATAATTTATTATCTCTAGAATAATAACATGTTTTTGAACACTAAATACAAACATAATCCTCAAGATTCCAAAATAACAGTCATGATTTTACTTTTTCTTCGTTTTGGTGACGTCAGAGTTGCCTTTCCGCTCCTGCACGCAGCAGCAAACATGGCGGATGGCTAACACATTCGTTGTTTTAAAATAAGTCCTGGGTGGGGATTGTATCTTTAGGACCACAAACAGTAACTCGTCCCGTGCTGAGTGTACCCGGAGGGCTGTCTGAACCTCGCCGCGGCCTGTATTTCTTTACTAAAGAAAGGTAAAACCAGCGATGCTTCCCTTGCTGCTGCTGTTGATGCTAACGCGGGTTTAGCTTCAGGTGCATGCTAATATGACCACCTGGGAGTTCTGAGTTTCTATAGAGTTTAAGTCCGTGGAGCTAATTGTTTTCAAAGTATATGTGTTATCTTATCTCCCTTGCACCGAGTCATTTTATGTTAACTTAAGAAAGAGTCTTGGCTAACCTGTTAGCTGACAGTGGCTAACTGCCACAAGACGTAAAGCGATATTTTTCACTTTTATCAATAAGTCGAACTAATCAGTAGAGCAGTGATTGTTTTGCTTGGCGAGAGTTTAGTTTTAGAATTCTTCATTGCATCTACACGATGTTAAAGGCAGTCAGCCACGACGAGAAGAGATGTTTTAATTTTATGAATATATATGTCCTTGAAACGCTCAACAATCTTGCATGGATGTTCAATCTTTTTCGCTGGCTAGAATAAATGTTTGTTATTTCACTGTAATAGTTGATTTAAGTAAAAAACCAGAAGAGTGTTTTACATAAACTAGTCAAGAACGAGTCACAAAAAGGTATGTCAGAAATGACTAAAATGATCAAATTTCTTTCATTTAAAGTGCAAAATCACTTATAATTCTTACTGCTGCTACAATATCATGAAATATTGAACGCTGTAAATATCTAAATATTTATATATAAATATGTAAACAATATGTCATTGATTTCATTTTCCAGTTTGCTATGCAAACACAAGTTGTCTATATATCAATATCATTTGTGCATTTGTTATATTTACTAAACACATTAATTACACATTAAATTGACCCATTTACTGCTAATTGATGCATTTATGGACCAGAAATGGTGGGAATTCTTTGTTTGGAAACATTTAGTGATTAGAAAAAAAGTCCGAGATTTTTTTTTGCCATTTGACTTGTGGTTCGGAGCCGGTTGAGGAACAATTGGGTAATTCCCATCTGGCCTCTAAATCGGTTCACCTCAGGTCAAAAGGTCAAGCTTGTTACAGCAGAAAATGTTTTTATCATTAAAAATAACCTTCTACCTCTGGTTGTTTGGCTTTTTTAGAGCAAATATTCTGGCTAAATCCTGAAACGTAGTCATCCAACTTAGCTCAGGCTTGGATAGAGAAGCACTTGAAAACATTAGCGGATTATTTGGTCTAATTGGCCTCGAGTAAATTAAATCCTAACAAAACAAAAAAAAAAGATTTTTAGGCTTATTTGATTTGCTGTGAGCATTTTGTTTCCTAGAACCCAAAATGCTCACAAATCCAGCAAATGAAGCAAAAACAGCAGCTGCCAAGTCACTGATAGCTACATACAAGTTAAAAACGCTCAACCCTTTTAAAAGATTTGCATTGTGAACTTTATTTAAAACATTTCTTTACAACCAGGGTGAAGGAGACACACCGCAAAAATGGGGCGACGTTCCACCTCCTCCACCAAGAGTGGGAAGTTCATGAATCCCACCGACCAGGCTAGTAAGTATGAGTTTGTAAACAAAGCCGCTGACCTGTTCAGCAACACCGGAACGACATTTTTCTGTACCAATAGGTTGATGTGGGAGCATTAACTGTAACTTTTTTTTCTCCCTGCTTTTCACAGGAAAGGAGGCCAGGAAGAGGGAGTTAAAAAAGGTAAACGTACAACATTCGCTTACATCTAGCAGGTGTTTTATTGAGTCGCTGACGTGGTGGATTCGTTTGGCAGAACAAGAAGCAGAGGATGATGGTGAGAGCAGCTGTGCTGAAGATGAAAGATCCCAGACAAATCATCAGAGACATGGAAAAGCTGGATGAGATGGGTGAGAGGAGGAATTTGTTGCAGTTAATATAATTTAATATAAGATAAGTGAATCTATTTTTTTTTAATGCCTCTTTGCCTTTTTCTTTTTTTTTTAAAGAGTTTAACCCCGTTCAGCAACCCTTGCTGAACGAGAAAGTGCTGAGGGACAAGCGGAAGAAGTTACGGGAGACGTTTGAACGCATCGTCCATCTGTATGAGAGGGAGAACCCTGAGACCTACAAGGAGCTGCGCAAACTGGAGCTGGAGTACGAGACCAAGCGAGGGCAGCTGGCTCTTTACTTCGACTCGGTCAAGGTGCGACCCAAACCCTGTTCACATTTCTATCTGACACCTGCAAAAATGGCTTTTTGTGGTGTGATGAAAATGTCTTTTTTTTTTTTTCTGTTCAACCCATTCTAGCTAATTTAAAGTTGAGAATTATTCAGTCCCTGTATGCTGTGAGCTTCCTAACTGTAAATGCGTATTGTTTTCCAGAACGCAGAGTCAGTGGAAGTAGACAGCATTCCTCTACCCGACATGCCTCACGCCCCGTCCAACATCCACATCCAGGACATCCCGTTACCGAGGGCTCAGCCTCCGTCCATCCTCAAGAAGACCTCGGCTTTTGGGTGGGCTCCGTTTGTTGACGCTTTCTGGAGAGCATCGTTTTGCTTCGTCAACGGGCAAAACAGAGATTCTCAGATTTGATGGAAATTCGATGTGCTGGATTCAGTCAATCTGTTATACCAATTAGATGATAAGACAAGTTCACTTTGAAACCGACAACATACCGACTAGGAAGGCTAGTGAGCAAAAGTCAGACTTGCATTGTAACCAGCTATTTTTACTCAAGTTACTTATTGGAAAAAAAAGGGACTTTTAGGAGTATTTTTACTTTAACTTGAGTCATTTTATTATGAAGTATCACTATTATTTCAGTAAAACCTCTGAGTAACTTGAGTGAATGAAGAACAGGCTTGTTTACAGCAAAAATTCACCAGACAAACACCTGCAGTTTTTGTTAAAGTTTCATAAATTTTATGTTGACAGAAACTGATTTGGAAAAATTTTACTTCCCCAAACTAGCACTATGCTACAAAATTAATTGTTTTCATTCGGGTCCATAAAAATACCCAAATTTCCACATAATGTTGCCTTTTGGTCCGTCTGATCGTGTAATTTTTAAATATTAAACGATTGTTTTTATCAGTTACTCAGTGCTTGAGTAGCAGTTTTACCAAATACGTTTTTACTCTTACTTGAGTAAACATTTTGGATACTCTGTCTGACATCAGCACTCTAAAACAAGTCCAGAAACAGTTTCTCTTTAAAATATATAGAATTTTAAAATGAAAAGCTATCATTGAGCCAAAATATATCAACAGAGATCATATCTCAAATTAACATCTATTTAAATAAAACGAGAGAAAAAAGGAAAATGTTTCTAGAATTGATCAGGGATTAAAAATAAACATGCATTCCACA